CGGCGATACATTGATTTGAAATGTCGCGTGACGTCACTTCTATGTACATTTTATACGTAGATATGACGTGCCCCTTTGACCCCACTCCTAAACTTTGGTTCGTTATATCTATGAAGCATTTTATTATACAACAAAATAAAAAATACGTGTCTAATTTTTTTTTAATAGCTAATTAACTAATTAGATTTTTAATTTTCATAGGGGTCATGTTCCCTATTCTAAAAGTCACGTTCTAAAAAAACGTCACATTGGGGACACCCTTCGTTATCCGTCGGAAACTAAAAAATAAAAAGAAATAGGTACTCATAAAAAAATACGTTACCAGAATTATCGTATATAAAGTTAAAGGAGAGTACGAATTTGTTCGACCGCCCATTTACAATTTTCAACAGGAGCAATTAGTATCCATTTCCAATATCTGGAACGTTGCATGACTTAAAAAATATACTAACATTCATACTGTCTAATCGTCAAGCTATCTGATTGATTGTTTATTTATTGAATCTACTAACAACCGTTGTTTATTTTATAACGTAACAATAGGAAGTTAAAATTGATCAAGCTCCTAGAAATACGTTGCAAAAATATATGTATTTTACTCGTACTTTTCTTTATTGAATTTACGTTATTTGGGATGATGACAGGGTATGAAAATTAAAAATATAATTATTCCGTAAGTTAGGTAATGAAAAAATGTTAGACAGGTATTTTTTTATTTTGTCGTCTAATAAAACAATACATTTAAAACAAATCAAAATTTAGGAGTGGGGGCTAAAACGTCATTTCTACGTATAAAATGTACATAGAAGTGACGTCACGCGACATTTCAAATCAATATATCGTCGGAAACATTCGTTTTTGAAGAAAATAAAATTTACGTATCTAATGCCGTAAAAAAAAAGATTTAAAATAATCTACTAGACGGACATTAAAATTAAAATTAGGCATCTACCCTATTGGAATAAAAACTAAAGCATTTCATAGTAAAGACATGACATACCATTGCAGAGAAATAAAAGCAAACTAGTTATTAAAATGTAACTTCTCATATAACTGTGACTTTGACTATGACGCGTATTAGACACATCAGTATGCCAGCCCTGTACACAACTAGCAATTTAGAAACCACAGATACACATGCATGTGGAGTGTATGAACTGCTTATCAACATGCATTGCATCTTGGTCGCTGACGGAAATGGGTTACTCTTGGACATGCACGAATGCGGTGGACATCTTGTCGCCACTTACGTAAAAACCTGACAATTTGCGTACTAAGTAGTAGGGGCAAGTCCCTTAACGCCGGACGGCACCTAACGCCGGACACTTGTATTATCTCGATGACTAATAACACGAGCGATTCATAATTTTACTAAAAATCTAAGGTGTCTGCCACTGGAAGACTTCCTCTAAAAATTGAATCGCTCGCGTTAGCTGCCGACTGGCGTTACGGGACTTTCCCCTAAGTGTAAAGACGTCAAATAGGATTGAGGAATCTATGTTAAAGTGTAAGTTATGTTGTGGCGTAGGAAATCTGATGTTCAATATACTAATGTCCGCTAAGCAATTTTGATTCCGGAAGATCATGGACATCAAAAACCCAATCATAATTTCCTTTGACTGACTAACTATCAAATATCTACTTACAAATCAACCAGGTGATCATTATGGCGTCACGCTACAGAACAAATAGATCACCAAATAATTATACTAGATTTAATTTCTTACCGTATTCATCGTCTTTCAAGGGAAACGGTTTTCTTACAAAGTTTGCATACACACTTACAATAAAACCAAAATATTACTCAAGTATTTATTTCACATAAACTTGCTCCTTGACTTAACATTAATTTTCAATCACACATTCATTGTAGTGGAAAAACGTGTGCTTTAGTCTATTCTATTCGATTAGGTGCAATTGAATAGACGAGAATAAAACAATAGACGATGTATCCCCACGATTCGCTTATGTTTGAAACGTTGTGCAATGAAATTATGACATAAAATGAGTAGACATACATAATTCAATGCTTATATATGTAGTACTAGCGACCCGCCCCGGCTTCGCACGGGTGCAATATGCATGTATTATACATACAAACCTTCCTTAAGAATCACTCTATCTATTAAAAAAAACCGCATCAAAATCCGTTGCGTAGTTTTAAAGATCTAAGCATACATACGGACATACAGCGAAAGCGACTTTGTTTTATACTATGTATTGATACGCATAATTTGAACATGTCGTAAAGTGACCCGTTAGTCAAGTAGTTTTAAGCTTGCGTGTGATCTTGGGTTCGATTTTCAAGTTGGACAAAGTATTTGTATGGGTATGTATGTAGTATGGGTTGGTGTCGGATGTATAATGTAATAGATTTTCCATCTATTATATTTGAGTTATAACAAGACAGGATAATGGTGCGAGTGTTAAAACTGTCCACATCTGCATACCCCTTAAAAATTTAAAATACACAATATCATGTTTTGTATAAGCAAATATCCTACACAACTGATCAAAGAGATTCCTCAATCATGGTTAATCCCTAGAATTTATTTGACGCGTCCTAACTCCTAACGCTTTTACTGAAAAAAAACTGTGTAATGTCAATCACTAAAAACATCTGTGGACCCGTTGGTCAATCAATCAGACAGGCTACGCTAGATAGTTGGAATCGAGTCTTAGTTCTCCTATATGTAATTTAGAAACGCTTGTGTTAATTACGCGTTGATAGATCGATTTTAGATTAGTTCGTATTTAATTTTGGCTGGTTCTTGCTAAAATTAATCTTGGGTGTTAACGGAGCCAATAATAAAAACCAATTAAAAACTGTGACAATAGGGTAGATGACTAATTTTTATTTTATGTATGTATAATGTCCGTCTGATAGATTAGACACGTGTTTTTATTTTCTTGCGGAAACGAATAGTATCGAAGATATATTGATTTGAAATATTGCATGACGTCACGTTTTGAGTACGATAAAAAATGATGTAGCTACCTCTCACTCCTAAACTTTGATCCGTTTTATCAAAGTATTATTTTCTTACACGACAAAATAAAAAATATGTGTCTAATATTTTTTCATTGCCTAACTGACGGACTACGTAGATTTTTAATTTTCATACCCTGTCATCATCCCTATTTGATGATGAAGAGTTTAAATGCACAATAGCCTATTACAATATTTTTCTCTATGAAAAAATATTTTTTAATGATTTTAAAAAAAAATTATTAACTACCGTTTACTTACTTACCTCGTCTCAACCAAAAACATTGTGACCAATGAGTGAGAAACATTAAAGGTAAAGTTAATTTATACCTACAAAAGAATATTTTATTAAAATAAGATTGTGGTTGAGTGGTGACCTATACCTAAATTAACTAAACATCGCTGGTTACTCACGTGAACATACTGAGCAAAGCTGTACTAGTTTCGAGCCACAGGGGAGCCCTTCCTCATGAGCAGCGTGCGCAGTCGCGGCAGTGTCACGCAGCCTACTGTAGTTCGAAACTAATAGAGCTTCTCTCAGTACATATATTCATGTGAGTAACGCGCGATTTTTAGTTAATTTAATATGTCTCACGATAAACAAACAGTATCCATACCTAATTAATAATCTTATTTGCCAAATCACCATCAGTTAAGTAAGTTTAAACTAAGCTACTATATTTTTTCCATAAAACAACTTTCGAACTCACTACCAATCCCCAGACAGACGGTTCTTCGTTGAGCTATTGATCTCAAACAGTTATTATTAGCCGTCGACGTCTAGTTTGTTAACCTAATTAACGACGTCTATAAACAAATTCTTTAATACCTAGAGCTCAATGTATTTTTGTGCAGAATATGGGTATCTAGGAAAAGTAATTTTAGCTCCATATGAGCTCAATGTTTCAGTTCACATTCGCAAAGGTCACGAACCTGAAGTGTAATTTAGATATTCATTCTTGCCGAGACCAGAACGCGGCGTATTTATTTATTAGTGTTCACAAAAGTATTCAGATCCTGGTCTAGACTTACGAGCATATGCCCATCTATACACGAATAATTTCGACAGCACAGATAATTAGTAACATTTAGTTCTTGAAAAAAAAAATCTGAATGAAATTTTTATTCCCCTTAATGTTTTTTTTTTGTGTTTGAAAGACCGATCATATGAACGACAGGTGTCTGTTTTTAATTGGTGTTGATATTACATTATGCCATTAATTTTACGTAAAACTGCAATAACTGTAGGTGAAAACCAAAATAGCCGTAGTATATAAACGGGCGATGTCAGACAAAGATCAAAGATTGTGTTGTGCGCCTTAGTTCGACCGACTTTGATAGAGCTGTGACCTACTTGAAATTTTACAACAAAAAAATCATATTTTCAACACTAATGTTTGTCTGTTCTCTATTACGATAATATGCTTTATTATGTGCATAAGAACATACTAGTATGTGTATAAGTCAAGGTATACTATTCATATAAACAACGATTCTAATTTATGACCATTTTTTGTTTCTGGGTACATCAATTGGTACACACGAATAAGATTAAGATTCAAAAAAAGTCTAGATTTGCTAATCAGTTTGTTTAAATTTAATATTTCTTGCGATACTTGTGGACAGAGCTTTAGCATATCTATATAGTACATAAACATTAAAAGTGTCGAGACCTGAAGTGCTGTATATCAAAAGTATAATGAGATCAGTAAACAAATCAGATATTATCATAACTGCTGTACAATATTTAGACAACGAATTGATTTGCGATGTAAATAATTTATAGTGTATACTGGCAACATTATATAACACAGCCGTTCCGCACTAAACGACCGCCGTACATTATGATAAATACTGAAAATAGACATCTACATCATTTTTACGTTTGAAACATTAAATCGGTTGGTACTCTTCATAATGACTCGTCTTTAGATCCCCCGCTCGCGCGATGTCGTAAAACAATCTGATATTCCCGTACTTATTATCCAAACATCCTGTTATAATTTATGTAGTGCAGCGGCGCATGGAACGCCCCAATATACCTAATTCTCACAATTTGGAGCACCGCGGTCCAGTGTACGCCCGCGCCCGCCCATCGTTATGGCTCAAAGTGCGTTATTTATTTATTTTTATCAACAACCTGATCTTCCGCGCGTCTCACCTTAGTATCAATATAGACAGCGGTTAGAAGACACGACCACTTTACTACGATTGACAAACCGGTCAATGCGTTTAACATTTCGCGAGCCCTTGTACCACATGGATTTCGGTTGCTACGACAAGGACTCGGGGGAAGTGGAGTGCTACCTCGAAATACGTAAATACATTTTCACTAAACGCTATCAACGGTGATTTATAGCTTTCTTATTGTTGTGGAACATCGCATTGTAATTGATATTTTTAGTTGGAATCAGTGTAGTTTTTGGGTCGTGTAAACAGCTGGACTCTTCTGACAGTAAGTTACACCGTATGTCAGCGCAGTCCGTGATTGTTAGTCGAGTAAAACGCTATTATTGCGAATTTATTGCTCCTCCCTCCGATATAACAATAACATAATAACACAGTAAGGTACGGTGAGCTCTCAAAATGCGCACGGAGCTAAGAACGATAAGCACTAGGCGTGACAACGTGCCCAGTCGTGAGTAAACACTGAACTTTGTGCGCTTGCCGTTCAACAACAAATAATTAAATAAGCTCTAATTTTGAACATTTGAATATTTTAGATTGCGATACGGGTACTTCTTGCGCTATCACGATACAAATGCGTAAGTACCTTGACAATAAGAGTGAAGCTTGCAAGGAGGCTTAACAAATAATTTGCGCTTGCGTCGCCAATATTAACCGTTTTATTCGAAATGCGATTTTTCATTTGGGATTGTTAGTGAATTTGTGATAGAAAAATAATATAGTGAATAGTAAAGAAATTTAGTAATAGGTTTTAGTGACAGTGATGATTTTAAAAATTAATTAGGAATATTTTTTGTGTGTGTTAGCGAATCCAGAGGCAGTGGGATGTATAGAACGGTTCGCAACGTTTTTATCGTTCCTGCTCGTGATCATCACCTTCCCGTTTTCACTGTTCGAGTGCTTCAAGGTATTTTAGTAATTAAAATAAATAATAACACCTCTATCTCATGCATAATGTCGATCATCGCCTCATTATTATTCACTTCAAATCCGTCGAACATTAAACACGTTAGCACCATTAAAGAAAAAAAATACGTTCACATTTGGATGTTAAACCTGGAATTATGTAGATAAACTTTTTATTCATTCACGGTCAGATTATAATCTGTTGTAGTCAATACGTGGATACAATTATCAATACATAATTATTTATTTAGTTTTCCATTTTGTACCATTGCGATTGGTGGAAGTAAACTTGGTTAGTCAATTTGTACAGATTATTAAATTACTAATCATTAAAAAATGACTTCATTGTTGCAAATAATTTCTTTTATTTTTTATTATTTCACGTTACTAAGATAGCCACAATACTTTTCCAGGTGGTACAAGAATTCGAGAGAGCTGTAATATTTCGGCTAGGTCGGTTAAGGAAGGGAGGTGCAAGAGGGCCAGGTCTGTTCTTCGTGCTACCGTGTATTGATACTTATAGGAAAGTAGACCTTCGTACAGTTTCTTTTGACGTCCCACCTCAAGAGGTAAGTCTTAACTTAATATCATAACGATAACAAAATAACAAAGATAAACTTAACTAAAATCACGGGTTACCCACGTGAATATACTGAGAAAAGCTTTGTAGCATATAGCAGGTGAGTAACCTGCAATTTTTAGGTAATGTTATATCTAATATAGTAAATGACAATGCAAGATCCTGACCAAGTCATAATATCATTTACAGAAAAAGTAAATTGATGAAAATAATTTTGACGAATAAGGAACCTTTTCACAATAAATCTTTTTATTTTTAAACTTGCGGTTTGCAATCTAATAAAAAAAGCACAATAGCATAATACAGTACTCTTATCTATGAAAAATATGTCTTATGGCCGTTTTTTCAATCATCAGTTAACTCTTAACTGTAAAATAAAATTTTTTTTTTAAATAAAATAAAGTTTTTAGTATGGAAGAATTGGGATGATGACAGGGTATGAAAATTAAAAATCTAATTAGTCCGTAAGTTAGGTAAAGAAAAAATATTAGACACGTATTTTTTATTTTGTCATATAATAAAAAATGTTTAGATAAAACGAATCAAAGTTTAGGAATGAGGGCTAAAACGTCATTTCTACAAATGAAATGTACGTAGAAGTGACGTCACACGACATTTCAAATCAATATATCGTCGACATCATTCGTTTCTGTAAGAAAATAAAAAATACGTGTCTAATGATTTAAAATAATGTACCAGACGGACATTAAAATAAAAATTAGGCATATACCCTAGTGTCGAATATTAAAATTTATTCCTCAATGAAGAACTCCGTCTCAACTAAAAATATTTATTAATACAAAAGAATATTTTATTAAAATAAGACTACTCACGCGGGCTACTCACGTGAATATACTGCGCACTTACTGAGGAAAGCTCTACTAGTTTCGAGCCACAGAGGGGCCCTTCCTCATGAGCAGCGTGCGCGGTCGCAGCAATGTCGCGCAGCCTACTCTCCCCTCTGTGGTTCGAAACTAATAGAGCTTCATTCATGTAAGTATCCCGTGATTTTTAGTTAATTTAGAGGTAATATGTCTCACGATAATTATTATAAAAGAATAACTTCTTGTCTGTCGATATATGGGACACAATAGAAAACACATTGGGTCTCGCATAGATCTGCTTCGAATACTTCACAGGTTAAAAGATTTATAAATCGTTTAGACTTTTAAAAAAAAACGTTACCCCACATTTGGATTTTCTCTTGTGTCGTGGATGCGTTTACAAACATACAAGTTCACATACACAATGACACCCAGACCTGAAACAACAATTTGTGGATCACACGAAGTGTTGTCCCTGCGGGAATCGAACCCGCGACAGGTTGCACGGCAGTGCAAGTGCAACCGTGCAGTCAAGATTTTTTGATAAGGAATCTCTGCACTATAATTTTATTTCTTTAATTTTTGTTGTTAAAGTAAGAGGATATTCCTGTTACGAGTATTGTCATGCCAGATTGTTACATAGAAATAATTCTTTGTGTATTTGTTGTATAAGTATGGAACTGTATCCAAATCTATCTATACAGGACTTTGACTTGACTTAAATAAAAAAAAACACACCTACTTTACGTTTAAGGAAATCGAATTTATGCAATAAGCATCAACCACCTAGGACTTCAAATGTATTCCTTATTGTACCGTTAATTATGCAAGTATATTCAATGGATCTGGATTTAATTTTATGTTTTCCGTGTACCACTGTGTCATAAGCAGAAGTTATAGCCTTTTGGATTCCGTTAATATTAACATTTCGATGTAAACTATTCATATTATGTTCCTATAATAATTTCCATTTGAATACCAAATTAATTATTTGGCTTGTCGACTCTTTGGTCTATGTTAAACCCTTCTTATATAACGTAAATAGTCTTTATGCGCTAGTTTCCGTTTATTTATATGAAATATTTATTTACTTTCTTAGTTTATTCTTTTCAAGCAACATACTTAACATATATAATGCAACTGGGATTTGTAGAGATGATTTTTTTAATGAACTAATATCTAATGTTTTTTATAATATCTATCGTGAGACATGGTAAATTAACTAAAAATCGCGGTCTGCGGTACATCGCCGCGACCGCGCATGCTGCTCATGAGGAAGAACCCCTCTGTAGTTCGAAACTAGTAGAGCTTTTCTCAGTATATTCACGTGAGTAACCAGCGATTTTTAGTTAATAACTAAATAATCATAGATCTTAGATATATCTAATATTGTTAAATTCACGTAAAGAAACTCTCTTTAAATTATTATACATTTATCGTATTATCCACCGACTAGACTAGACATTTAAACATTTGATGAAGTATAGGTGTTAACCCAAGCCTATTATTAGGCCAGGTTATTAGGCGTTATCTAACCTACAGAGCAAAATGTTAAGTATACTTATTATTTTACAATTTTATTGAACTTCAACATCGTCGTTATTCCTTTGCAATAAAGCTGAATTTTGCAATTAAAGTATTGTTGAAGAGCGGTATTGTAAAGTCTGGTTTTCTAGTATTGATATATCCCATTAGCAATGTTTTACCACATGTTTCGATCTGGATATAAAATCTCACATATGCAACATTCGGTCAACGGCTTTTGGTATAAAAATAAACATACGAGAACTTTAAATAGAAACATTAGTATAGTATTTATTTAGCATGCACATCTTTCTATAATATTTAGACAATTATCGCCGTTTATCTCCTAAATAAAGATAACTGCCAAAAATATTTACTATAAATCTGTCTCCTTACTTGATTGAGGGGAATTCTTTGCATTTTTCAGAGGGGCTACGTATTAAGAAGTAAAATCTTTAGTTAGAAAGTTAGAAGGTTTGAATTCCAAGTCTGTTTTAAATCGATACTTACTTAATCTGGTCCAATTATTTCAAAGACTTCACAATTAAAAAGAAAACAACCAAAACCAGAGATCATAAACTATGATTATCAGACAATAGGATAGCATAGGCATGTTGTCAGCGTCTTTCTTCTAATTCTTCAATTTTAATTTTTCAACTCAATGTTTTTATTACTTCCACTGTCACACCTTTATTGTCTTTTTATATTTTATTTATGCTGAATCGTACCTGGTGCTGAATAAATGTTTTTACTTTCTTTCTTTCAATACTGATATTAATGGCCAATGCAGACACTCTGTAAAAACTTATACGTGTGATCATACCAAAATACATACGTCATTTTGAGACCGTCCTCTGTTGTTTCAAATTTCAAACAAATTTATATTAAGGCCTTTAGACAAGACAGACCTTTTCAATGATTACAATTTTATTTAATTAATTTTGCTGCCAATGAGTACCTATTCAGCCGATCACTCGCCGACCAGTACATACACAGTACATACCATACAAAGAACATGAGGTATAAAGGTACTAAGAAAAAATATTGGCTTAGCTCCTGATCCTAATCAGATCAGTGAAGACGTCAGTTGAATTTTATGGCTCATTTCAAAATACTTGACCAAGACAGCGCCACCAATAATTCGGAACAGACGCGCTAAAATCAATTTTTACTGTTCATTTACGATCTATCTGTGTAATGAAGAATTTCAGCCATCTCGTGGTTGATATTTTATGTATTTTTTTTTGTATAAACTACTAATGAATTAGGAATTACTTATCGTAATTATGGTCATATTAAAGATACCTACTTATATTTAGACTGTACATAAAATTAAAATATTGATGTGGATTCCACTAAAGACAGATGAATGTCGACTTTACTTATTGAAGAAGGTTTTACCGAACTCAAAAATTTTGCAAATCACGTTACTCTAGACCAGACCTTTTATCTTATAAAAACAAACAAACAACTTTAGACCTTTTATTATTAACAAACAAATAAACAATTTATACTTTAGCATAATTTTTTGTAAGGATTAGGACCTAATCAATTTGAAAACATTTTTCGTCATTATATCAATGCAGTTTAGGTAATCTATAAAATTACTATCTTTGGGATGACTTGATAAACAGAAGAACATACATATAACATCTCGCCTTTTATCCCCGAAGGGATAAGCAGAGATGCACATTATGGCACTTAGTGCGACTGTGCAATGTAACACCCACTTTTCACTATTTATGTTATGAGCCCCATGTAATGGAGGGTGAGCCTATTGCCATATATCATAAGAACTAGTACAGAAACACCCAAAAATCCCAACGTATCATCACCTTCCACAAATAACGACTAGGCCGATTCCCAGACAATTGGTTTACGAGTAACGTTGTTTTACATGTCGTAAAACTTTGATTGATAGTTTACAGCCACATCAATTAATTGTAGTCATCTGAATGGTCAAAAACAACTAGGTTAACGATTTTCAATACCAGCATTGGTACCAGAGCTGTATTGTATCGGCCACGTGGCTTTTTTATTGTATTTTACGTTGTTATTGAAGAGTAATGGTAGATAGAGACTTAGCTACTGCGAATGTGACGCAATGCGTTGCTATTGATGTTGATGTTCTACAACCAACCTGATTGAAAAAGAGTAACCTATGGAGTTCTTTGCTCGTTCTTCTCCATAGGAATCTAGACCTTGGAATGAGCAATCAGCTTCACTTCTAAATTTTTGTTGTTAACGTTCAAAAGTGCCTTTCTGGTCTAACTGAAATAATTGATTTTGACTTTGGCTTTGACTTTGACAACTTGCTTGTAAAGCCTTTCTACTATTTAGAGAACAGATAAATAGCTTCACTTTTAAATTTTTTGTTAACGTTCAAAAGTGCCTTCCTGGTCTAATTGAAAAAAATGATTTTGTCTTTGACTTTGAGTTTGATAGAACGAAAAGTTAAGTAAGGTTTCAGAAATAAAATATCGTTTATAATTTTATCGATTGATGCAAATGATAGTGATTTTAAACGACTTCAAAAATAAGAAGTTCCTAATTTAACCTGTATGTATATATGTATGTATGTATCGTTGTGCGCGATTATCTCGCGACTGGCTGAATCTATTTTGATGCGGTTTTCAGAAAAGGGTTCGTTACACTTAGGAGTAGGTTTTAGTACATTAATTAACCGACTTTAAAAAACAGGGGATTAAAGTCGGAGTTGTTAAACAAAGTTTATAAAATAATTATTCATAACACCACATCGTCTAGTATAACTAGACCGACGTTATAAGTATCCAGTCTTCAATGAATAGGCTTTTTCTAGCGAGTTCACTACACAGTTGTTGGAGGCTCTAGACACACAAAACATATCTACATAATTAATACAGGTACATACGTATGTAGCCATTCTCTTCTCTTGAATTATCTACCAATAAACACTATATCCTTTGTATACGTTCTGGCTCGTTTCAATCGTCATCATAATTCTCAGATGTTATGATATTTTGCAATCAACACCGTTTGTTTGCACTTCATATATCGAGTAAACTGACTGCCACACGTAAGATTTCATAAGATTTCCATATTTTTAGCATCACGTCGAGTATAATTTAATTATTATAATAACTATCGTGAGACATACTAAATTAAGTAAAAACGCCTCTTCTTCCTCGTGAGCAGCGTGCGCGGTCGCGGCGACGTCGCGCAGCTCACTGAAGAACCCCTCTGTGGTTCGAAACTAGTAGAGCTTTTCTCAGTATATTCACGTGAGTAACCCGCGTTTTTAGGATATTTTCTGTTAGAAATAACAAGCGTGCGGAGCAGGGACGGGTCGCTAGTCAATAAAATAAAGAGCAAATGTGGGCGTTTACACGTAGGCGCGAATGTTATGTTTTTAAACGACTTTCTGTCTATTTGTGTCGTGAAAAGATTTTTGCTAGAACTTACAAAGTTAAATTAAGTAAGTCATGTTACTTCTGAGATGTAATATTGTCGTAATAAGGTCACTGTTTACAAGAGCTTATTAAATTGAACTTTCAGTTATGTACACAAAGCACCGCTAATTAGTTCGTAACGCTCACATCGACAATACTGTCATTTACACAATGTACATGTGTGGGTAATTTCATATTACTGTGTATAAAAATATTCGTCCACCACGTTCACATTGGCGCGCAGCTCACTGAAGAACCCCTCTGTGGTTCGAAACTAGTAGAGCTTTTCTCAGTATATTCACGTGAGTAACCCGCGTTTTTACTTAATTTAGTTAGAACTAGTCAGAAGTCAGTCAATCGAATCCCGATCGGAATATAGTAACACCCAGAGCAGTCCATATGTAAATATATGGTCAATATCATGAAGGTTGCAAGTCAGTTTATTTTAACCTGTCCATTGTTCTGTCGAGAACAGACGGCCCGTTTGACCTGAATACGTTTTGTTTGCCGGATAAATTAACGACGATTAGACGGGTAATGATAGAATTAGGGCATGTAACATTTTACTTGGACGTGATCATATGCTGCTGTAACAATGTTCCTTGATCCACTGTTTAGATTTCAAAATCTGTGAACTGCACAAAGTATCTGTGAACCGCACATTATTGTGAAACTGAATTAGACCCGACTGAGCGTAACATGAGTTAATTAGGATTTACAAGTTGACAGACCATTATAACTAGAGCTTTATCAACCATATACGTAATTATTGAACATAACATCACGCTATATATCCTCAAAGGAGTAGGCAGAGGTGCACATTATACAGTGGTAACACCCACTTTTCACTATTTATGTTATACTTATAACTCCCATGTAATAGGGGGTGAGCCTATTGCCATATACCGGCTACAGTTCCAGACTCCGTGCTACTACTGAGAATTTAAAAAAACCCAGTAATACTTTGCCAGACCCGGGAATCGAACCACTCGGCCAACGAGGCAGTCATTAGTAATTTTTATAATAATAATAATAATAATAATCTTTTTATTGATATATATATTATATTTTATTGATATAATAATAATCTTCTTAAAATTATTGAGTTGTTAATTAAACATGCGTCACATAATACTTTTCATAACACTAATACTATAAATATGAAAGTTTATTTAGATGTTTGGATGTTTGTCCGTCAATCACGCTGAAACTATAGGACAAATTTTGATGAAATTTGATGATTCAAATTATATGCAAAAATGGTGTACAGGCAGGGTATGGGAAGACTTAGGTAATGGGATACTCTTTATCCCGATTAAATGCTCTCATGGGATAAACCAGGAATAATCTTCTACGCGGATGAAGTCGCGAGCTAACAGCTAGTAATATATTATTTTACAGCCTTACCTACTCTTCGATTTATATAATACACATTTAACAAAAAAAAAGATCTAACTTCTAGACCATTACGTATTTGCGCAGTTTTTATATGTAACATAATAATACTTAGTTTTTTGCTAACACTTAGACTTACGTTAGTATTAAGTAACTTATGTATAAATACTTTTAATAAAAGAGTGCAGAACGCAATACTGAACACTTGAATGCACTGTTACATGCCTGCATCGTCTGAAGTTTAAATTTGCTTACATAAATTGCATTTTATTCTGAGATTGCACAGAGCATTGTGATTCATCTTCAATTAGCCATTTTGAATCAGTATTTATGTTCATACCGTTTCTGGCAGGAGATAATTATTATGATTGGATATGGTGTGAATTGTAGCACCCTGAAGGAAATCCAAGGGCGATGCAGACAGTGAAGTAATTGTATGAAGCCTGTTACTAATTTTGAACCTTTGGAAATTAGCTGTTAGAACAATTACCACCATGATAGTGAGGTAATGAACATATTTAGATGTTGACTGTTTATGAAAGGTCTTAAGTTGATTTATTTTAATCCAAAACGTTTTCGACCTTAGAACTTACTTTAATAATCCGGAACTATCCCCGGACCAGTAGACAAAGGCAGACAGACGTACATACAATGCAAAACAACCTACTTCACCTTTAAGTATGGTGTCCCATGTAATAGACGTTGATAATATTATATAGTCATTATATGGGTATTATATCACTATACGAATTAATTTCGTTTAAGACGATGTTTTAATAAAATTAATCAGAAGTCGTGTCGTGATGTCGCTTAGAGAGCGGCTTCTTCCCACGACATTTGAACTTGGCAAATGTCATCGCACAAGTAGCAAGCACACAGTTACAATTACATCTTCTCATTCTAGTTAAACACGTTCATTTAGTTTTATGAACAATTAGTTATATTATTTATTGTTTGTGTGTTCCTTTGGAAATAGGGCGCACTGTGTCTGAGTCCAAATATAGTTCGCTGCTTCAGTATAAGATGTTTTCATAATAACTATCGTGAGATATACTAAATGAACTAAAAATCGCGGGTTACTCACGTAAATATACTAAGAAAAGCTCTACTAGTCGCGAACCAGAGCGGTTCTTCCTCATGAGCAGCGTGCGCGGTCGCGGCGATGTCGCGCAGACTACTCAGACCCCCTCTGTGGTTCGATTATATTTTCTTTTTTTCGTTTCGTTCGTTTATATTTTCTCAATATATTCACGTGAGTAACCCGCGATTTTTAGTTAATTCAGTATAAGAATTATTATTTTAGTAAGACTTATCTAAAATAAAATGGTTTCAGGTCCTGACACGGGATTCCGTAACGGTAGCAGTGGATGCCGTCGTCTACTACCGCATCAAAGAACCTTTGAACGCAGTTGTTCGAGTTGCTGACTACAGGTACTGTTTTTGCTATAATCATCTTACCAAAAAACGGTTAAGGCAAATGGAACATTTCAAAAGCCACCACGAATAAATATTTAAAAAAATTATATTTGTAGATATTTGTAGATGATCTTTATAGATTTGTATTGTTACAATGTTATACAAATCGATTTTTTTTAATTAGTCGAAACTTTTCTGTTTATCCTTATTTATTTTACCTTTTTAACATAACATAACATCACGCCTTTTATACCTAAAGGTGAAGGCAGAGGTGCACATTATCTACGTACTCTACGTACGTAATGCTACTGTACAATATAATACCCAACTTTTACTATTTATGTTATGAGTTCCATGTAATGGAGGGTGATCCTATTACCATATGCCGGGCACAATTCAAGACTCCGTGCTACTACTGAGAATTTTAAAAATCCTCGTAGTACTTTGCCCGACCCGGGAGTCGAACCCGAGACCCCTTGCCCAGCAGTCGCATTTGCGACCACTTGGCCAACGAGGCAATCTTACCTTTTTACACCTACATAATTGTTTCTCTTTCCAGTGCATCAACGCGTTTGCTAGCTGCAACAACACTTCGAAATGTTCTCGGCATGCGCGACTTGGCACAGCTGCTATCCGACAGAGAAGCTATAAGTCACATGATGCAAGCCAGCCTTGATGAAGCCACTGATCCTTGGGGAGTTGAAGTGGAGAGGGTCGAAATGTAAGCCAGTATTTGAATACCTTTTCACTGAATCACACCGGCGACATATATATTTCTCCTTTAAATGAGAATTTGGAGACAACCATGTTTTTGCCCCAAACACCATCTTCCCAAACCAAGTAAGTTCCCGATACACCATCTTCCCAAGTCAAGTAAGTTCCAAATATCATCGTGTCTCCAATCCAATTTTCTCTTTTCAAGGAGTAATAGATATGTCTCAAATACTGACTTTCATTTCCAGTCTCTTCATTTTGTCTCACTTAGGAGCTATTCTCATGACTGAGGATGATAATTAGCACTTTACTATATTTCATTTCATCAAGCCTGGTCTCAATAAAGTTAGACTAGCATTTGCACTTTTAAAGTTTTATTGTATATGTACAGCTACAATAGTCAACATATATTTCACAAGACATGTAATTTTCCGTAGAAACCTTGAAGGATATTTTTGCATCAATGATTTCAGAAAAGACGTACGATTACCAGTGCAACTTCAAAGAGCAATGGCTGCTGAAGCCGAGGCCGACCGTGAAGCTCGAGCCAAGATTATAGCAGCTGAAGGAGAAATCAAAGCATCCAAAGCGTTGAAAGAAGCCTCTCTTGTTATGATTGATAATCCAATGGCATTACAGGTAAACATAAAATCTTTTTTGCTTTCAATGGACCGGTCGGAAAAATAATTTATTAAAAATTAGAGGAAGCCTTTTTTGCCTATCACATCCTGTAGTTAGCCACATTAAAATATTTTTTCATCATAGTCATTATGTTATGAATATGATAATGTAAAAGTAATGTTAATTATTGGAAACTTTATGATATCCTCGTCCATAACGTTGTATTTATACTTTTTTTCTCAATTTTAGTTGCGGTACCTCCAGTCACTCAGTTCGATATCAGCCGAAAAGAATTCGACAATAATATTTCCCTTTCCGATGGATTTCCTAAAGACATTCCTGGGAGGACCTGGACCAAGTTCACAGCAACAAATCAACTTGTAGACAATGTATTGTTTGCAGTAAATAAAAATAATTCTAGTCAAATTGTTATTAAATTATTAAGTGCATACTTCTTTCATTTCTTACCTATTTTGAATGCAACTTTCGGAGAATGACATATCAATGACAGATATTACCTAAATCGTTGTTTACATCAGTTACCTATTATTTTTTGGAAAATTTCTGTTTCGTTTGATCCCCTCAACGATGAGTTCACCCAACCTGCAACCAGAGGAGTCGCCATCAGAACAAATAAGAACAGGGACGGCTGAAATAAACAGTAACTATTATCTTATAAATATATCAAAATAAATCAGCTCTATTTAGATCACAGAGTCTAGTAGTCCGTATCCGTAGTCTAGCAGTAGCAGTGGACTATCAAGGGCTATGCGTTAAAAAAGCCGACTAAAATCAAACGAAAAGTAAAAACTATAAAGCAAAAAATAGCCATATTGGTCATACGTACTTACAGCTTGCACACCCACTGATAGATTAGAAGGCGGCGCCACAAGTTTTAAACAAAGTTATTCATTAAAACCCTAATAGATACCTAACATTATTAAACTGTTTACAATTTTATTATGGATTATACCTATGACCATTACCTAAGATATATTTTGTTACGGAATGCCTAATATAATTTGTCTATACATCTCGATTTCAGAATATTCAAAAGAATCTCGCAAGGAAATATTTTTTCGGATGTTGGCTATATTAATAATAATATTGTTTCCTATTACGCTGTTAATATGTTTTAGGGTAAGTAAATGGACCATATAATTATAATTTATGATTTTGTTAACCAAAATTGTTCAACAAAAAAACAACAAAAGCACAAATGCATAGTACGACTTTAATTATTAACAAATCATGTACCTATCTACACAGTAGGTGTTTTTAGGCGCTCGTACTTGTTTTATTATATGTCCAAATACGTAAAAATGTTTTTATTCCTTTAGGTGGTAAAACAATATAAAAGAGCTGTAATAATGCGATTCGGAAGGATTCGTAAAGACTCACCAGCTGGTCCTGGGATAATATGGATGATCCCTTGCACAGATGACATCCAAATGATGGATTTAAGAACTCAATCTTTTAATCTCCCGCCACAAGAAGTAATTATTCACATGTTTACCTGCATAAAGTTTTATTACCTTCTTGCCCTTGGTCGCGTGCGCACAAGTGGTCTAATGTTTGCAAGGTTACTTATTTGCATTTTAAATTTGCCTACAGCTAACTGTAGGCACATTTTCACTCCATTTTGTCTGTCAGAAATATTTGTTTTCTTTCTTTTGACAAAAGTCGTCATATTTACTCAGTTCTACAATATGTTAATTTATCCAAATAAATTACTTATCAGTAAGTAATCTTTAAACGTTCCATATAATAAAATCAGTTCGTATTCCATGAACTTAGTTGTGCAATGTTCTGTTTATTTGTCTATTATCGGTGAACTTCGAAAGCGGTTTCAATTAGAACCATTTTAGTTGAGAGGTTGAGGTCAACACCAAGTCTGAATCAAATCGGTTAAAGGTCGATGTCGCATGAAGTAATTTGTAAGTTATGTTATTGATACCTACTATATATATAATCAGATTTGAATACAGATAGAACCTCGTTGCTCGTGTGTTTGCACCTGAAACTGCATAGTAATATCTTTTGTCTCAGTTTGATTTCTGTATATCTCTGTATCTCGCCCCTTTTATGCGGCATTGGGAGACTATCTACCTACATATTAGCGAAAATTGGTTTTATCTATGTGTATCGTTGAATTAAGAAATAAATCGAACTTTGTTTCAGATTCTAACAAAAGACTCTGTCACCGTAACAGTTGATGCCGTCGTCTATTTTCACATACAAAAACCACTTCATTGTTTATTGAACATTCAGAATAATCAGTAATATCTTACAACATAGAATTTAAAATGGAATGCCGTGTATTCAATTTTGTTAGCACTTAAGACCTTTTTCGATTTCAGATATGCAACAGAATTAATCACAGTTGCGACATTAAGGAATATACTTGGTCAACACTCTCTGTATAATCTTCTAACACGTCGAGAGAGCATCAGTTTTAAATGCAGAACAGACATTGACAAGACCACTTCCAGATGGGGAGTTGTTATTGAAAGAGTTGAAATGTATTGTTTCCTTATTTTTTCACTTCTCTACATAATGTTCTCAAGTGAGGGAGAGCCATGCTTCGGCACGAATGGGCCGGCTCGACTGGAGTGATACCACGGCCTCATAGAAAAACCGACGTGAAGCGACGCTTGCGTTGTGTTTTGCTGTGTGAGTGAGGTTACCGGAGGCCCAATTACCCTCCCCTTCCCCAATCTCTCCAATCCCTGAATCCCCAACGATCCTCAAACTCCTAATCCCCAAAAGGCTGGTCACGCACTTGTAATGCCTCAGGTGTTCCAGGTGGCCATGGGCGACGCCGATTGCTCGATTGCTTACCATCAGGTGATCCGTCTGGCGTCTGCTCGTTTACCGGCTTATGCCATAAAAAAACAAATTTACTACAAATTACCTTATACTTTTCATAAATGGCACAAAAATGTGTATTGAACAGTAATTTTCGAGATTCAGTAGAAATAATCTTACGTCATATTAACTTCATCCATCTCCATAATAAATATATTTTTTTTAATGACTTAATTAGTTTTGTTTTTATAAATACTATTATTTTTGTTATACCTAATAATTCCAGAAAAGACGTATTTTTGCCTTTTGAACTCCAAAAGGCCATGGCTGCTGAGGCTGAGGGTACACGTGTAGCTAAAGCTAAAATAATAGAATCCGAAGGTGAAATAAAAGCAGCAGAGAATTTAAAGGAAGCTTCTCAAATAATGATGGAGAATCCACATATAATGCTGGTAAAAATAAGAATCAATTCTGAAACGATTCTTTATGATGACGATTAAACTGTACTTGACTGTGACTGTACTTGACGAGTAAACTAACTACTTTGTTTTGTACCCTATTAGCAAAGTAACAAAGTTTAAAATTCATCTGCTCCTTTTCTAATTCCAGCTCCGTTATTTACAAACATTGAACGCAATTGCGTCAAATAATTCAGCAACAATATTTTTTCCTTTCCCAATGGACCTTCCTTTAGTTACACCCGGTAAGAATATTATCTATATCTATATGGTAGAGGAGTACAAGCATCTGACTTTGTTTGTTTGTAGGATTTAGTCTGCAGAAATACTGATCTGATTTTGAAAAATCTTGCATCAACAGAAAGATAACTATTAAGGAGCGACTTAAGCTATGCCTGTTTATTATACCTAAATGAACAAAAATTCTTTGGAAATAATAACAAAAAATAATCAAGGCACAGTAAAGCGGGTAAGATCTGATATTCACAACTTAATAATTGTACAAAAATAAGGTAGGTACTGTCAAGGTGCAGCTCCAATATTATAATTAGCCTTTTTCCAGGGAAGATTAAAAAAATCCGCTAGGGGTAACACCGATGGAAGGGTACATAATATGATTTGAATTCTTTAATGACAACAACGTAGTGATACCGGGACACGTAAAGTGGTGTTTTCTTCTTCTCCTCTTATAATATCCTCCGATTCACTTCGTTGCGGGAACCAAGACAGTTATCCATGTTCCTGGGACGCGCTGGACTTCAGTGTTCCGATGTTTTCATGGTTGTATCTACTGTAGATCCTGGCTTACAGAAGTTACAGCGGTTTTGGGATGTTGTGGCGGGCTTGTCCCATTAAAAAAAATACCGGGGCCCGGGGACATACTCAAAAAAACATCCGTTACTAACCTTACAATTTCTATTCAAAAAATCCTTTTTACAAAGTAAAAAATAATGACAGGTAAATAATTTTATCAGATAATCAATGTCATGATGACATTTTCAAGATACGCATCAGTAACTACATAACTAAGTGCAAATTGTATAAATTTCAAAATGTCTAGTACAAAATCTTCCAAATTGCAATTAACTGACGATAAAAAAGGAAGGGACGATGTTGATTTAGAAAAAGACCTTCTTCGGTCTCCGAACATATTTCAAGAAGGCTATAATTTCAATACATCCAGGGGCAATAAAATATGTAAATATATTATCAATACATACTATAAAATAGATAATAATGATTCCCAACAGGTTCTTAGCAATGTTTCGTAGATAAACTAGGTATAATAAGAAGGAAAAAAGTAGTAAAAATGAATTCAAATATGATGAACTTGTGTTTCTAACTATTGGTGTGCAAATTAACGCAATCTTATCAATGATTAGTTTAAACAGGATAAAATGAAAGTTAGGAGAAAACATACTTATCAACCATTTATATCTTAATGTAATTAGTATACCTCTAGAAGAAGAAGAAGAGATACATTTGTATTATATTTTCCTTTAACTACATCGAGTGACCTCGAAAAACAGAACAGATGAAGTATTTTTTTTTTGTTTTCAGATCATGACAAATTTATTGAAAAATGTCTTGTAATAATATCACTACTGTTCGTATTAGTAGCATTTCCGATATCTTTGTTTACTATATTTGTGGTAAATTTATTTATTCGTTCGTTTTATTGAATTAAGTACATAGAAGAGATTCAGTGGTTTTTATCCCTTTCCCTTTACCTATAGGTAGTTCGTCAATTTGAACGAGCAGTTATTTTACGGAATGGAAAATTGCGTAAAAACAAAGCGTACGGGCCTGGACTTATCCAATACCTACCATGTGTGGATACCATCAAGTATGTTGACTTGAGAATTATTTGTTATGCTGTACCACCTCAAGAGGTAAGTAAGAACATTGTGTTATTGTATTTGTGTCTTTATTACACTTAATATTTTTTCTTGTCAGGGAGCCATTTTATGATTACCTACGTGTTCTAATATTCGTACAGGATTTAATATCATCATTAGTATCATGATTACAACTAAGAAAGCTAATAGTATCCCGCGGCTTCATCTACGTGATATTTAAAAGATGTAGTAGGATCAGAATAAGAGACTACATAGTTAACAATGACCGGGCAGCAACTGTCTTTTATAAACCTGATAGACGTGGAACTATCGCAAACCCTTTTATGTAGAGGAGGTTCATTGTCCGGCAGTTTACTTGATGATCCGATATTGTCATTTAAGGCTTTAACTAAAGACGCTTTGACTGTTGCGGTGGATGCAGTAGTTTACTACAAAATTGAAGACCCAATTTGGGCGGTTGTCAACATTGCCGATTATAAGTAAGAATGTTTTCCTTGTATAACTAACAAGCTGTTCCCCGCGAGTTCGTACGCGTATACTAATAATAACTTCTGGCTGAAATTTGATTTTTTAATTAGTCTTTTTAAGGTTAATTCCAATCTCATCAGAATCAATTCACTTTTCCTTTAGATAATTTTGACCGGATATGTGAAAAACTATTAATATACCTTCTTATATTATTGGTCTTGCTTACGCTGTGGCAATTTTGGACAATAGAGCCAAGAGACGTGGTTGCTCGTTTTAAGCCAGAGAAAGAACATAGAACAGCTTTTATTATTAGAATCTCAATGTGCGGATACTATACGGGTAAAACCTACAACCGACTCGACCAACAGGACTGACAAGACAGGCGCGGCTCCACAACCGACACAACCGATACGACCAAGACGACCGACACAACCAACACAATCGACACGACAGACACGATCGACACAATAGACACGACAGGCACGATCGACACGACAGACACGATTGACACAACAGATACGACCATCATGGGATCATCAGACAGGACTGACACGGCAGATACGCCACGACAAACACCACCGGCACGACAAGCCAGACATGACAGACACGATAAACACGAAATACACGATAGACACGACAGATACGACAGATAGGACAGATAGGACAGACACGACAGATACGACCAACACGACAAAGACGACAGATACGACAATCACGACAGATACAACAGACACGACCGACACGACCGAGTTACAGATACGACAGACACGACAGACGACTCGCACGATCGACACGACAGGCACAACATAATAACCGACACGACATACACGACCGTCACGACTACCACGACCGACACGACATACACGACGGTCACGACAACCACGACCGACACGATAAACACGACCGACACGATAAACACGACCGACACGTTAGATATGGCAGACACCACCGACACGGTTGACACGACAGATACGACTGACATGACCGACACTATCGACACGACCGACACGACCAACACGACAGACGACCCGCACGATCGACACACACGATAGACACGACCGACACGACAACCACGACCGACAACAAAAATAAGAAATAAGTCTACCCAATTGATATTTCTATTTCTCAGAGTAGCTACTCAATATTTAGCAGCTACAACCCTCCGAAATGCTCTTGGAACTCGTAAACTGTCAGAAATACTAATCGACCGACCAGCAGTCAGCTACCAAGTCTTTGGTAACATGAAGCATCTGACCACCAACTGGGGAGTCAAGGTTGTGAGATTTGAGGTGTAAGTACAAAGAGAACTAAAAAAGTCATGTTGTTCATAAAAATGCATTTATACTTTTAAACACACAATGGTCATCATCCTAACTATAATAGTTATAAGACATCCAATAATTTCCAAATCAACTGGCTGAAAATTGTGTGTTCGTCCATCCGTTTTTCCATCTTATTTGTGAACGTCCAAAATACATAAATTAATACTGCAACACCAACTTTTGAATTTCAGGAAAGACATCAGCTTACCACTGCAGTTACAGAAAACAATGGCTACAGAAGCAGAGTCGTCGCGATTGGCAAACGCTAAAATAATTGTAGCGAAGGCTGAAATAGAATCTACTAAGAATCTGCAAAAAGCTACTAGTTTGCTCATGGATAATCCTTATTGCATGCAGGTTGGTTAAATCCAATTTTCTATCATTTTAACATTTGATTTTAGTTTAAATCTGTTCAATATCTTTCGTGTAACATGTTTAGCTACTCCAGTCGAGAGATAGCTGAAGAGTTCTACTACAAGAACTAATAAAATGGTTCAGTAACCGTCCTAAGCACCTTACAATTAATCAATATCTCTAAAATGGTTATTTCAGCTCAGATACCTGCAAGCTCTACAGATGATTGCCGGCGAGAGAACGCATACGGTTGTGCTTCCAATCACACCAGAAATGTTGAAGGGCCTGTATAAGTGAAGCATGGGATACAACATAGTGAACTGTAATGTAATGTGAACGTATTTGGGTTTGTAAATTATAAACGTGATTGTATTGTTTCTTTTTATTTAACAAAAAGAACTAATAAATATTTAACAAAGTATAAAAATCTAAACTATAGGAACATAACAGGACTAGTATTCTCTGGAGTCGTCTTCTACTTGCTTTGGATGGCCGTAATGAACTAGCTTTTGTGGTTGACCGCCTGATTTCTTATGCACCGTAGCCTGTAAGCACACGAAAAAATAAATACTTTAGCTCCACGCATAGTCAAATTAATGTAGAAACGACAAAAATAAATATAATTACTTGGAAACCATTCTTGGGGTCGGCAGTATATCTCACAAGACGGATAGAGCCATCGGGTTCAACGAGCGAATATTCACCCTGGACGACGTCTCCATCGCGATGTTCTTTATGGTTCTGTAGATTACCGGTGTGGGGATCTTCAACACCATATGAGTAGGCGTAGTCTGGTTTGGCCTAAAATATTACAGAATGATTAAGTTTCACTTTTATTTATTGTCTCAAGTTTTATAAAAGGCCTCGCATTTATGAATTTTTAAGTGGCGCCACTAGCGAATTAGAGCCTGTCAATGGTACTTTCGTGTATATTCTTAACTTAAACTTAACTTAACTTGTAGTCTTAACAAACTTACAACATAGTCAACAGTCTTCAGATGTGCGTATTGAGCTGTGTCTGGATGTATTTGTCCAGTTTTGTGATCGTATCCGTAGTCGGCGTGTTGCTGTGCTGGAATACCTTCAGCAGCTGGTACTTGCACTTCAACGATTTGACCACTGACGGGTCCACTGAAGCGACTGTATGAATAACCTCCAGGTGCTTTATTTGCCAACACTATTGTGGCTAAAGCTATCGATGTTAGAAGCTGAAAGAGATAAGAGGATTAGGTACAAGTGTTTGACTGTATTTTTTGAAGAAATGAACAGCAACTACGTCACAGAACGCAGTTATCCAAAAACAACAATAGAAATCTGGTTGGTTACAATTAGATCCGATCGAGAGAGTTATTACTTCCAGTTCAGTGGTGACAAAAAGCGACGACCTTCACGGTCAGTACCCTATTAAGTTGTTACTCAACAGTGACAATGAAAAATAATCGACCACGAAGAAAGTGAGAACAAGATATTTTACGATAAGTTTTTTAATGAGACTGGATGATTTAATTTGAATGATTTATTACCTATTTTAAATGAAATGTATTTCGATCAATAGGGAAGTTATTTCTTCATGTTACTGATTCATCTTCATATTTCTTGATTTATTCAGCATCTAGTTAGTTGTTGTTTGATTTAACGTTCATTAGTATTAAATACTTGCCCTTTATTTAAATACCTATCATATCATTGTACGGTTTATATAATTTTGCGTTAGTTTGTTTTTGCTTATTTTTTTATTTTGATGTCTATTTTTGACTTAAATCATTATATATATAAAAAAATACTGTTAGGTACCTATGTTATAAAATGTTCAGAATCGGAAACTATTATACACACTGTATACTTAACTAATTGAATTTAGAAGTAGGTATGTATATTACCTACAATTAAACATTTTGAGCGATAGTTTAAAATTACGTTGGATTAATGAAATGCACTCTTTTAAATAAAAATTCGTTAATTGTTTCATTGCATTCAATTGCTAATAATAATTAATTAATCTAAGTAACTATGACACCTAAACGTTTTTTTTATAAAAATAAATATTTATAAATTAAAAATAAATGTGAATAATTCAGGTGCCTACCTTGTAAATGAAAGCCATTTTTCTGGAGTCTGTAGCGTAGTGGTCTCCCAATAATCCTTGCGGAACTGATGCCTGTGCCACAAGTGTTGTGGTTTTATACTAGCTGTCACCTCGGCAAGAATAAAATGCAATCGTGAACTTGTAGACTACGGTTGCGGCAAACTATGAATCAATAATTTTCAATATTCGGCACTGGGTACGCAGCCAAACGTTACAATGAAATTGCGTAGATTTGTTTCAACTATTGTTTGTTTTGGTTATACTACAGTAACCTTGATTTTTTTACTCCAATTTAAATAAGTAGGTTCCTATACCCTGCACAGATATTCGAAACCATGCGTTGCTAAATAGATACCTAAGTAATAGTTAATAATGTAAATTAAACTTACAACCTAAAACTATTTGTGACTGTTCATAAGACTACGTAGTCGCGGTCTGAAAACCTTATGCGCTGGATGGGGTCCCATGACACGTTGGGCTGCAGTCGTTTCTCAACCTCTGCACCAATCTTGCGGTTGACATTGACTCAATTTAGACTTTTATATGACTACCTACGATAAATTTTAATAAGTAGGTGGTGCTATAGTTTCTGCCTATCTCATGAGACTATTGAACTATAATAAACTGTTCAACTTTAGGTTTGAGGTTGTACAACGTATCCTACTATTAGGTAGGTACTTATGCATGTTCAATTTACCTAAGGTAAGGTTTGATAAATTATTAACTGTTATGAACTAGGTACCACTCAATACTGGATCCAATGTTTCTAATTTAACTCGTCGAGGACCGGTTTTGTAGACACAATTATAGAAAAATAGGTTGCGGTCACCGGTGACCGCTTGGTGTTTGACAGTTTAAATGGTCTAGGCACCTACAGTCAGTCCAATTATTTGATATGCAGGCAAGGAAAATAAAAAGACAGTAAATCATTGGTTTACTGCTGAGCCAACCACAGTTACCCACTGTCTCCTACTTTTAGAATGTGGTGTGTATTCTTATTTAAATTCACTTGACTCCAGAATAGTTCGTGTGTTCAATGAAAGTCCAAAATAAAATAGGTATAACTTTGTGTTTATATTGTTCTAAGAAATACACAATTCACAACTAATCTATAATATTACAAAATATTACTGGTTAACACCAAAGCTGGGAGACGACTGGCGTGCTAACGCTATAGGGTTGCAGGCGCAGCTACGCACTTGAGAATACATAAAAAATGGCAACACGTTGGTGTCGCTACATACTTATAAATCTTTATTTTCATACCTGCTTCGGACTTTTGCAGCGGACATATCAAGCAACTGGGCAGACTGTACATAATACTGTAATAAGTATGTTAACTCATAACAGTAACTATAATCTGTTATGTCCTAGTTGAGAAATAAGCCGATCTATTGGTATAGTCATTTCCTCAGCGAGGAGAACTCAAAATACAATAAGCCAAAAAATTTTTATAGCAATTATGTTTAAATTTTATAATAAGTAAGGGATCAATTTCGATTTTCGTTAGAATGATCGGTACTTTCGTACCAAACTTTGCTGTGGGTATAAAAACATTGTACCCACAGCAAAGTTGTTAGTTTACTTGTATGGAAGGATTTTTTTTAAGCGGGAAAAATCTACTGGTGCCTTCTCTCGCCTGGGAGGGAGTGTCAGGCTTTTACTGACTAAAAACCACCCCGTTCCTACTCCTGCACTACGAGCCGTAGTCCCGGCAACCTGTTAAGTATTTCACGACTCTGTATCGGCATCAACAGTATTGGGCCCCATCCGAGGTAGTCTGATGGCTTAAAGTGGCGCGTTGCATATAGGTAATAAGTAATATCTGGCACAATGTGTGCCATAAAACAAACAGATTAAATAACTGGAACACATAAATACAACTGAGGTTTTTAATAAATAATACACCAAAATAAAATAAAAACGAATTAATTACAATATTTTAATCTGGTTTTTGCCCATCACTACAGATAAGTCTGGCAATCAAAATCTTTGATTTTTAATTTCCAGTCACATTTATTAAATTTCCAATAAAAACTTAAATAATATTAAAATTAGCTATTACTAAATTAATAATAAAATATATACAAACTCAATCGTTGATTGAGTCTAAACGTCATTTTGATCTAATGTCAATATTGTCACTGTCATTGTCTTGTCAAATGTCAATCTTCCTTCATCTTCAAATGAAAACGAGCTTTTATTATTGCGAGTGAGTGAGATAAAAAATATAAAATAATAATAATAATAACGCAATCTTAAAACTTTATAAGTAATAAGGCTGCTGCTAGCGGCCAGATAAAACTTTAATTAGGGCAATAATACTGACGCAGTTCCATGTTGCATGTTTGCAAGATAGTTTAGATTTAGACTTGGGACACTTGCAGTGTGTTTTTCAGAGAAAAAAATAATGAGTCCAAGAAAGAAAAAGGTTAAACATTCTCCCACTAAAGAAGAAAACGATATAGATAATAGTTTAAAGCGGGAAAATTATCCTGAAGAATCACTTGCAAAACGTATCAAGACTGAAAATCATAAGGATGCAGACTTACAGGCTAAAAAGAAGCAGAACTTCATGGAAGCCTGTAAAAAAGTGTCTTGCAAGGCTTACTCTGACTATAACACCAGATTCTTAGAGACATATTTACCTAATTGTTTGGACAATGGTGGTTGCAAACATCATGATAAGAGTGCAGTAAGTCATAATGTCTTATAAGATCAGTATCATGATCAAAGGCTTGTACTACTGATAACCATCAAGTCGTAAAGTTTTTGAACAGCAACATATTCTTACTAAAATCAGTGCAATAATAAACTTTAGAAGTTATGTGGTAAATATAGCTAATTAATTACCTTTAAGTTAAAAAATAATAATTAATGTTCCAGGTCGCCATCACTCAAATGCCACCCCATATCGAACAATCATTCTCAATAGAAATTAAAAATAAAGCATGGTTTGAAGCCTTGGATGTGTGCAGAATATACATAACTCGTGACAAGTATTTAACACCAGCAGTATTGCAAGATATAGTTGAAATTATATTAGTGAGTATTTTGTTATTATGTATATTCTTAGTAACACAAATAATTAAATCTTATGGGAACAATGTAGAAATGGACTTAAAAATTGATTTAGAAGGCAAATTATAAAGATAACATAACATAGATAATAAAAACCAATGTCACAAGTTTTAATTTGAAGTGTCTAATTCCAGAATGCCCATCAAGACGATTATGATGACCACACATTATTAGATGTCATTATTAAAGCCCAACATGTACTGTCTTTACACTTCAGCACACACCCCCCTTGCCATATTAAAAGCTTAAGAACTTGTTACAAAGACTTCCTAACAGCACCCATGAGTCCCAAAGACAAGACTTTTACAAATAGAACACAATTTGAATGTAGGAGAGGTATCGTTAAATATTGTATGAATAGGTTAGAAGACGAAATCAGTGCTGAAAGTAAGGATGGGCCCTTGGTAGACAAGCAAGGTAAAGTGCCCCTACATTTGTTGAACACAGTAAGTGCTGCTCATTGGGAAAATGAAAAGTTTTTAATATATGAATGCCTGGACAGGCACCAAAGGATAGAAAGACTGATGGCTGTTCTTGAAAGTGTAATAGAATTATTGCAGTATGATCTGGCCATTTGGCATTCAAGGTAATTATTTACGTAACATAACATCACACCTTTTATCTCCGAAGGGGTAGGCAGAGGTGTACATTATGCCACTGTACAATGTAACACCCACTTTTCACTATTTATGTTATGAGTCCCATGTAATAGGGGGTGAACCTATTGCCATATACTGGGCACAATTCAAGACTTCGTGTTGCTACTTGCTAAAAATAAACCAGTAATACTTTGCCCAACCCGGGAATCGAACCTAAGACCCCTTGCCCGTACCTATCTTATTTGAAACTCATATATTCGCTACCGACTTTATGCCTTCAGAATCCCAGTATTGAATCAGAAGCTTTATGGTTAGCATGCTTTTAGGTACAAGCCTGCTTACACAATACTTTATCTATGAGGTGCTCATATTTGAAAGTGGAAAGTGGTATGACTGATGTGATGTGTGACTGTTGATAAAGCAAAAGAGGTATGTAAGAATTGTAGCATTTGGCATTCCATAGTCTGCTTACTCTTAGGAAGCAGGTGTGAATTTATGTATATATGAATGTATGACTTGTAAACTAAATTTTAGTTTTAAACTGTCAAACACCACGAGGACACCGGTGACCGCAACCTATTGTTCTTTAATTGTGTCTATAATGACGGTGCTCAACGAGTTAATCTATTATTGTTCCAGATATATCAACAACTTGGGTACTCACATTATGAGGTCACATAAACCCCTATTGGCATTTGTTCTGTGGTCTGATAATACTGTGTACACCGGTGCAGTGACTAGCAACTGCAGGCAAATAATGAAGCTATTTGTACATCTTAATCATTTAAGATACCCAGACAACATGTTGAGGATAATAGCAGTAAGTTTTCTATTTATTCTGTTTATATAAGTGCTATGAGTATGTGGATTTTTTAGTAGATAAATATTTAACATCTTTGCCTTTTTTCAGATGTGGCTAAATGCAATGATTCAAACATTTTACTTTTGTGAATCAAACTCAAACAGTGATTACCCAAATATTGGAAAATATTGCAAACAATTTGCAACTGAGTTCCATAAACTGATTACAGGTTTGTACTCTGTACTATCTCTATTTAGTCAATCACAAACTATATTCATTAAAATTATCAGTTAATTAGTAGTTTAATCAACAAAAAAATCACGAAATCTTCCTCTTCTCAGAAGTAGAACTACCTACAAGTTTGATCAAACTATTAAAGTTTTATTCATATTTTTCAGGTATGCCATGTGACTCTATCAACAGAATTTTGGACAGAATTGAGCCACAATTTATGAAACATCTCATTGGTATGACCCACATCAAGATATTACATCCCATCCAAGATGACTACATTTCAAACATTTTAATCAATTTTTTCAAAGAAAGACAATGGTCAGCATTTCCACCAGACGATAATGAAGTGATTATTTGTAGACCACTATTTTTAAAACCTATTAAGATATCTGGAGTTCTCAATTTTGTAACAAAGAAATTTTTTACTCATAATGCCAATGTTGAAGCTGCTAGCAGTGCCAACAATATTGGTTATGCCAAACTAGATACAGAAATTTTCGCTGATAAGAAATTGGATGATAGCCTGAATCATTTTGTCCACACCCTGTATGTGACATTGGAAGCTTTTTTGAATTGTTATGATGTACATGCTGTGCAAGAAATGTGGAACAAATTGAATGAAACTCCCATAAAAGAGAATGATAATCAAAACAATCCAACTACATTTCAAGATGACAAATATAATGTTACTGCTGAATTCATCAAAAAGTACAAAGATATAATGAAGTCTATGAAGGAATTATATAAAGTGTTCAAAGATTTGAAGAGCAGTGGAGATATGCCTGATATCTTGAACATTTTTACTAAACTTCTACATGATTGACGTAAAAACTGGTGAATTAATTGATGTGCTTTTTTACGGGGACCAAATATCCTATTTAGAAATGTAATTGTCAGTAGATAACTAGGTATTTTGGTGAGAAGTAGTTTTAGTACTGGCTATAACAAATTAGCCATGTTCTTTGTTCCAGCTGTTTATTTTATTTTTGTAAATGATATTAATAGTAAATGTTTAACTGGTTGATATTTTAAGGGCCGATTTTTCCACCACTAGTAAAATTTTATCAGAGGAATAAGTTTGAATATTTTACAATTCTACTAAGGGCCTTGGAGATAATCATCAAAATTGATATTTGACAGTATTTAGTATGAAAGAATTGTCGAATGTTCAAAGTTATAGGTTACAATTTATCTGGCGCTGAAGAAAACGGTACTAAAAATTGTCAAACAGTTAAGAGTTAACTGATGATTGAGAAATTGGCCCTAAGAAGGCTGCCTTACAGACGAAATCAATAACCTCTCTAAATTCTAGAAGGTGTACCTATGTATATATCTCAATTCAAAATCTGTTAATAATAAACACAGGTATACTGATTTCCTGAAGGGTGTCCTGGGCGCTTACTCTTGAAACCAATCTCAATGTCAATGCAATTTCAATCCAATAAAATCTCAATCTTGATTCAATGTCAAAACTATACAACCCCTACCATAGCTGTTGAAATAGCATTCAGAGTATGGAATATAAAGCCAAACTCAAATCCATTTAGTTCATTTAATATCCACGCAATACAGATGCAAGGGGTGCTGGTGTTGCATCTCGAGAGTATGAAATTTCATAATACCAATGTCGATCGATAAGAATTGGATTCAAGAGTAAGTCTCCTGGTCTTGTGGCCTGGTCAAGGCCCAAGGGAACAGGTTGCCTATGGGTCTACATGCTTCATCGTAGACCGCATCACAGCTTACCACCAGGAGAGAGAGTTGCAAGTGTCGGCCTATCAAAAAAAACTTACCTATCGATTTTTGACAGTATAGTTCGACTTTTGTATGAAGTTATTGTGAAATACTGTTCTTATTCCACAGATTTAAATTAAGATGGGTTATTAGTTTCGACCATTTGTCATTCTAGAGCTTCTTTAACTCGTCGAGTAGCGGTTTTGTAGACACAATTATAGAACAATAGGTTGCGGTCACCAGTGACCGCTTGGTGTTTGACAGTTTAAAAACTACCTCATAGATTAATATTAAAAGTGATATATTTAATGCTAGAATAAATGATAATATTTACAATTCAATGACAAATGCAAGCTTTAATATTTTTGCTTGTTATTGTTCTAATGCAAGACATAGTAGTTCCGGTTACTTGGTAATAAATTATTCATTTTCAAATAAATAAGGTTTTTTCAGAGATTACTATTTGTGAGTAACTTTGTTGTTAGATGTTTAGGATATGATAGCATCCCACGAGGATCATAAGCTTGTATGCCACTTCACCACCTTATTAGCTACAAGTCATTGAGGTGGTAAAAAAGTTTTTATTCCTATTTACTTCAAGACATTCTAGTTATAAATTATTAAAGCATGATGTGTGATTGAGAACAAAGTCAATTATTATTATGTGTAATTTTATTGAAATGTTATCCCACCAGCCCACCATACTGTCATTGTGTTACTGAAAAAGACAATGTTGAGGTATTACAATTTGTGTACTTAATTATAAATAAATGAAACTATCAGTTACTACTCTACTCTTATTTTTATTAATATTTAGGCATAAAGTGTCCCCTTGCTTTCTTGCTGCGCTTAGCTTTCTCAATATCTACATTGGGGTATTCTGCTTTGAGGTTTTCCAAGTCCATGTTAGGGAACCGCTTCAGTAGATGTTGTACTTGATTGAAGTCCCTGTTCCGAGCCTTTCTTTCAACATTGTACTGCTTCTCTTTGTAAAGTCTCACAAATTTCTTAACTGCGGCACTATTTATAAAACCATGCTCAAGGTACGGTTTCACCCATCGTGTGTTCATAAACTTAGGAATAAAGTGTTCTTTTTTTTCATACTTTTCTAGTAAACCAAACAAGTTTACAACATCTTCCACAGGGCGCTCTCCAGTCTCCCCTGTCTCCAATTTGTAATAAGCCACATTACGTTCTCTTATAACGGTTTCTATGTTATCCATAGATTCCTGGATTTTGTCTATTCTTTCAGGATTGGGAAATAATCTCATCTGTCGTTTGCACTCATGCTCCATAGTGTATAACATGTTTCGCTCTTTCAACAGTACATACCACAGTTTATGTAAATCTGAGTTGGATTTTATCCTTAGTTCATCCAATTTCCATCCTCTACCAACTCTGATATTTGTTTCTCCCCAATTTTTTTTAATATCAAAGAATTCCATTAAGTCATTATTAGGTTTTGTTGTATGGATATCTCGTTTAAAAATTGGAACAGCTGTAACTTTGATAACATTTTGTGCTCGTAAACATCGGTTTACAGTATATTTTAATATATTACTGACTACAGCAGTATTCATCATATAGAATCGAATCAAAAATTGAAAATATTTCTGGAAACTTTTAGGTTACCTTCTGATTATTCAATAAATGTCATTCAGTTTGGTATATCATGACAGTAACCTTATGAGTTCGGAAATATTTTTGTTTAGTTTCCTCTAAGTCGAAAACTTTAAAACTCAATAAAAACCGAGAAACAAACTATGTATGTACTATGAATGTACTAAAATATATTTTAAAAAGCCATTACTGACAAAGACAACCCCTAGGATTGTGGTAATAAAGAATTGATTAAATAGAGATTTTCTCAGCCAAAGAAGAAAAAAAAATTAAAAAAAAGAGATTTTCTGAACGAAGCCATTTTGACAGATATTAGTGACGTTTAGTTAGCTGAGCATTCAATTTTATTTGATGTTTAGCAAAAATATTTCTCAGCTCCAGGTAGGTTCAAACAAGAAAATTTGGTACAATATACGTATAATAAAATAGATCCTACTTGCTATAGTATTACTATTATACATTTATGTGAAAACATAATATTTTATTTTTGAATAGTTTTGACAATCGATAAACGTAACTAAACGAAAGAGTTGAATAATGTCGTGGTTACAGTGAGTAGTTCAAAGGACGCATTTTCTTTGGTTCTATAGAAAAACACAATGAAAACAAATTAAAACCATCGATTCGTACATGTGCATTTTTACGTGCTTTCGGTGCTCATATGACTAAAATACTAATTAGTTTGTGTAGTGTGTGTTATTTTTGAAGATTCCATCACCGCTGAGGAAGCTTATTGAAAGGTACAAACATCATTCACCTCTTTTATTTTTATAAAACTTTTGTTTAGTTCGTAATATTTTTTACCTGACCTTGGTTTACTAATGTGCGGATGTATTGTGAATGAATAAATGTATTAATAAGGAGATCTTAATTCAGAATCGTGTTAATGTATTTTATTATCGGTCAATTTTGTTTGTGTGTAAAATGTAAACACGAATAGATAACTTTGATAAAAATAATTACAAAACAAAAGGACGTTGTAACAAAAGGTAAACGAAAAAGGTAAAATTTTAAATAATCTGAAATGGAAAGGTTTTGTTTTCATATTGGATACCTATTTTTTTCTGAATATATTTGCTTATAATTCCAGCTTTCACTTGTTAACATTTGGAATCCTATTAGACTATGTATATTGATTGATCTTTATTTTTTTATTAGAAACTTATTAGTTTCTAAAGTGATCAAGTACAAAATACATTCACAAGTTAAGAATTCACATCTCGAATGTCTACCTGGTTTGGTTCTACCTAAAGTGAAATTGCATGCTTCTACACCGGTCTCACTAGGACATATAATACAAACATGTGCTAACAAACCTAAATGCACTTAAAAATAAGGGTAAACAGGTATTACCTATTTTTCTTAAGACCTAGTGTCAACCCTGAGAACTACATATGTAATTGGGAAAAGACCAAAAGAAAGTAAGAACAATGTATTTTTGTGAAATAATAAATAAAATTTAAATAAACAAGCATAAAATGGAAAAGCTTTTCAGTATCTAAGTAATTGAAAAATAGGTGGTTGATTATTGTTTTAATAAAATATTGTATTTCATGATTAAAAAAGTGAATTTTATTACATTGAATGGTACCTGTTATGTATTGACGTGTAAAAGTGCTGCTTTGTAGCCTATTTGCAGAAATAAATTCACTTGTTTCACTTGTTTCACTTGTCTCAAATTGTCAATATTAAACATTTTTCCTAATTTTATTCATATTATTTTGTCATGAATGCGAGTTTGTTCGATTGTCTTTCTTTCATATTGCAGTGGAGAATTGTGATGTGATTTTTGTGACTGACCGTAGGATACTAGAGAATTTATAAAGGCTATTTTCCCTTGACGCTATTGTCCAAAGCCAATGGCGGAAAGCTATTCTTGTTATAATAATGGATGTTTAAAATAATTATCACATGCATTATTCCTAATCGTAAGTAGTAGTTGCACATAACAGTATTGTTACATTATTAAACACAAGCTGATCCCGCGACTTTGTCTGTGTGAAGTAGTACCTTTGAATAGTTCTTCACAGCTCCTATTTATGGTAGCATAATAATATAACTATATGTGACCTATATGTTGATCCGACCTGTAAGTACTATCCATGCAAATTTAAAAGTTAATCCATAAGTACTTTGTGTTTAGCCTGGACATACATACAGACAAAAATCCTAAAAACTATATTTTTTACTTCCAAAATCGATTGTAGATCACAACCCAAATATTCTTTTAGAAAAATATTTGTGTACAATTTTGACTTGCCTATGATTTTATTATACATGTACATAAATAGATTAAACTGTCAAACACCAAGCGGTCACCGGTGACCGCAACCTATTGTTCTATAATTGTGTCTACAAAACCGGTACTCGACGAGTTAATTAGCTCGACTTATGTATCAGAGACTAGAACAAATTGATTGCTGTGGTGTATGTTTAATTTGTGATTTTAATTACCGTGGCATTTAACTAACTAATAAGATAGATAAGCTATGTATATAGCTCTATGTTTAATAAGGTTACAAACCTGGTGAGTTGTAAAGTTATTAAAGAAAAACTCATAATATCTGTTTGTAATAATTCAGGTTAATAAAATTCAGGTACAATTCTAATTGGATACAAAGCAATAAAAAAACAAATGTAAGGTATTAGGTAGGTGCTTTATTTTTATTCCTTGCATGAATAAAAAAAATAATAACAGATTCTTCCAAAACAGTCTGTTAAAATAGATTTTTATCATTATCCATATTTGTATACTTTAGGTAGAAGATCAATAAATGTACTGTAGACAATTAATAGATGCCTGATGCCATAATGAACACAACATTTGTGCATGAATTTAGGGCAACAATTCTGAGAAGGCAAATAAGTTACCACTACTTACCATCTGTTTGTGAACTAACTAGGTGTGCCACAACTCCGTTTCCCTTACAATTTATAAGGTGACAAAATACGTTAATTAAGAAGGGGCCCATCCTCTCGTCGTGTGTTCCGGCGGGTAATTTGTCGCGTGCATTAAGCAAGTTCTACGCTCGTTACGGGCCCCACAGAACCACACGCTAAACCGTTGTTTGACGCAATTGAGACGTTACGTTTAACGTCTCAATTGCGCGCTTCTGCCGCCTCCGCCCGCCGACGCCTCGCCGTCATAAACATTTTACATGATGGCACGCTTATGACGCCAACTGACGCTGCGACGCCTGTTGGAACGAAGCAACCGACATCACCCTTATAACACGTATAATATCGTTAATAACACTTAAGGTCTTGGCCATTATGGCCATTATCATCAATGATCATCAACTTGTTTTCGTAATAACTAACCTGATCTTAGTAATATTATTTACGTATCTACTACCCACATATAAAATAAACACAAATACAATAACACTTAAATGTATTCTCTACAATCAACTGCATACCTTTATCATGATAAAAATGTTAAAGAAAGGTTGCATCGAATTGAGATTCGACACTCAAGCCACATTCGATTTATGACCCGTAGATGCACATAATTTATTTCGTCAGTATTATATCAGAAATTACCGTCACGTCCCACTTACTATATCTGTCACTGGCCGAATAGGTGCTTACATACGATCTTCGTATAGAATCGTTGATTAAATCAGGCGCCGTCGCTTTGTTTAGGCAGCGATCGCATTATCTCGCATGCTTGTCAGTCACACTCGACCCGCTTGTGACGTCGGACATCTAGGCTCTAGACCATGAGCCCGGAACGGACAGGGATGATTGTATTGCATAACACAATAGGACATCGAAATTAATGCAATATTCGCAAAGATGTCGCATTCATCCGGCAACAATGAACGCCACACAGTGTATGTCTAACTTCTATCCTTATCTACCTGTAGAATAATCGTAACTTACTAGGGTTGGGATCATTTAGTTCAAAAAACGAGGTCACCATGTGAAATGGTACCCAAACATTTGATACTATACGTAATAGGATGACTAGTCGACCTTGTATGATTAATATTATGATTCATTTCTTCCGCACTCAACGTATTAATAATAGTTACTTCTCAAAAGTTCTAAAGTAAAACTACTCGTAGCTTGACCTTTATATTTATTACAACGAATCCAGTCCTAAGTCGACAACATAATGCTACACAAATACGTAAAACCTTCGTCTTTGATCTGCAAATACTTATTTTACTAAAACTTATTATGTTTTGTTGAAGCATACTTAACTACATGAATATTTGTATGTAACTAAACACAAAAACATCATCTTCATCGTTCATCCCGCTAATTCTTCCTCAAAAATTTCTATCACTTACTTTATTGAGCATCTTATTTCATAACCAAAACTATTAATTTACCTGTCGTGTATCCATGCGACACTTTTGGGGTCGTTTCTGCCCGTATTTAATGGGCCTCCAAAACATTGGGACCTTTTTTTGGAATACCACTTAAATCAGCGGTGTCATCGGCTTTTAGACGCAATATGAATGCGAGTATTTATTTAACTCCTCCACCCGTAGTTATTCTGGTTATTCAATGCGGTCTACTCTAATATAAAACCATTTATTTAAAGCATTTTGTGAATCTTAAGAGACGTTTTTCAAAGGCCAAAGATCAAAGCTATTCGAGCGAATAAATAAAGGGAGATAGGTAGGTACTTTTTTCTTTCTTTATATTCGTTAGGAGCCACATTACATTTTGTTTGCGCTCAAGTAGCTTATACAGTCAAATTGCATAGTGTGAAACCATTTTTATTATAATTGCAAAGAAATGCAGCATTCACGTTTATCCGAATAAAATGTTGATTTAGTTCTACCTATCTCATCTTCTGAGGTATTCGATGAGAATTTGAGATCGCTAAATGTACCTAACTCATTTCGAACGCTCTTACGGCATTTAGATTCCGACTGGAAATGCTTCTACCTATTTACATACTTATTTGAAAGCTATCGAACTGTATTGTATATTCTTTAAATCGTCTACATTTGATTAATGTTCGAATACGAATTGGATAGGAATCACAACATCAACTTTCAATTAAGGAAAAGTAGTAATAACATAACATCCATTTTAAAAGAATTCAATGTCAAGTATGAAAGTTATGTAGAGGTAGCTATATGTAGCTGAACTGAAAGTGAAAATGGATAGTTTCCTTATTCAACTCGCCAGGGTAGGTTTAACTAATTCATTTCTAATTATTGTTGATTAGTGAACCATGAATATATATTTTTATTTATTTGTATGTCTAATGAATACGCTTTTTCTTCAAACATTGTGTTTACGCTTAGGATGCATGGACGACATCATTGTTGGTTTAATCGTTCGTGAAACGCTTTATTCTAGAGAGGTCACACGTTATCTAAAACAGCTGTCGGACGCACGCGGCCTACAATGGACTCGTTTGTATCCCTGCCGTATAATATTGTTTGTAATTTAAAATATCGGATGTGTTGGCACGGGTGGCGGACGGTTTATTTTCCAGCTCAATTGTGGAGTTATCCGAGGTGTATTGTTGCCTTGATTAGATCAGGGGAGCTTTGTTCACAAGAGAATGGCCGGCTTCGCGCCGCTATCGTCTGTCGGCCGCACGCGACCTGTTCATGAGTTTGCGGCTACACAGGTACACCCGTTCCAGCCTTCTGTCCAACCGCAGCATATATTACTGTACAAGGATTCTGGAGATTGACTACCCTGTGCTCCAAATTGTATAGTTCTTACAATTTCTTGTTTTATCTTGCTATTTTTAATGTCGACCCTT